TCAGACGCCGGAAGCTTTTCGCGCTGCGCAGGGTAGGTGGGGTGGGTTGGGCTGAGGCATGAGCGGGGAAACAAAAGGTCTCTTTAGGTGATTCTGTTCAGTATGCTTAATAAACAAAACTGTAATACAGGGGATGTGGAGGGAAGTTATGACTGTGTATCGATTTATTAACACGAACGTCACAATAATTATTATTAATGAAAGCCGACTCAGGGAGAAATCGGAAAGTTATCGCGTGAAATATTACGTAAAGCCCTTCATTATTTATAACAATAATAATGTAATATTATTATTATGGAATCTGATTATTAAAAAAATAAGAAAATCTCATTAAAATTATTAAAAATGCTAATAATACATAAATAAGTAGTAAAATAATAATTATTGAAAATAATTAATAAAAATAATAAAATATAATTTCCTTAAAGTGACAAAATCTGACCTTGTTATAAATGCTCAAAGTGACCACCATTTACCTTTGCCAAAAGACACACATTTACCAGGCGCGGATCCACGGGGAGGGAAAAAGAGGGAAATCCCCCCCCCCCTAATATTATCAGTAACTATTCATTTTAACTAGTCACGAAACTTTCAAGCAAAAATGTTTTCTAATAATCATTAAAAGGAATAAAATCGTATCGCATGAGCTGAGTGTAGCATGCGACATTGACAAAATCTGTATAATGACACATTCCCCTAAAACATTTTGAATTTCTCCTCCCCAAATTTGTCTCTGAATCCGCCCCTGCGTTTACTTTTTTCAGTGTAGTGGCTGCAGTACGTTGAAGACTAACAAGCGCAGAATAAGTGCTTTCTCTTTCCTCCAACTAAAATTAGCCACATTCTCACACTCCGAAATAAAAGATAAATTAAGATAAATTTATTTGAACTGCAAATGGGCATAACCCAGTGGCGGCTAATTTCATAAATAAGATAATACAGCTAACATGTAAATTATATAATAGCAATAATAATAATAATAATAATAATAATAATAATGATATAAAAACTGTCTAATTCATAAAACATTTAAATTACCTTAAAAAAAGAAACATATATAATCTAACTCCGCCCTGAATTTTTATTTAACTAGACTTCATTTCACTTCACTATGACCCTTTAATCACTTCCTACATTATTTCTGTTCTACACTGCACATCTCACTTCACTATGTATTACTTCCGCATCGTTTTATAACTTACTATTCTCAGTTAAGTCCCTCATTTAATTTGTAATACCCTAAATTAATTTCCTAAATTGTTGAACGCTACGAGGAAAGAGTTCAAAGGGTTTTGCAATCTATTCCATTCTTTCATCGTTCGATTTGTAAAAGAAAATTTCCCCACATCTGTTCTCTGCGGTCTTAAATCTATTTTGTGCCCCAAGTGATGTATGTAGGAATACCGATTAATGTCTTTCCAAGCTGGATGACTGCTATAAGCTTTATGCAAAGCGCTGAGCCTTGCTACTGATCGCCTATATTCGAGTGAATCCCATTTTGCCATTTTCATGTCCTTGAAAGTAAATTTAGCTGCCCTACGCTGAATTCTTTCTAAATTTTTTCAGTGCATAATTTTGTGTGGATTCCAACAAATGGTTCGATGTTTCATTATCGGACGAACAAGCGATAACTAAGCATTTTCCTTTGCGTTTGCCGTACTCTTTTTTAAGGTGCGCATTACAAAGTGAAGAGATTTCCAGGCATTCCCTGCAACAAAATCTACGTGACTTTTCCAGCTTAATGTACTATTGAAATGGATTCCTAGGTCCTTACATGAGGGAACTCTCGGAATAATGTCTTTATTTAAACGTTAATTTGTTTCTCTGTAATTATGACTCCTGCCAAAAGTGATGGATTTGCTTTTGGAGCTATTTATGGTCGTTCCATTATTTTCTGCTCAACAATGTAACGCATGAAGATCCCGTTGCAACATTTCTTCGTCTTCTTTTGAATGTATACTACAATACATTATGCAATCGTCTGCAAATAGCCGAACAGTTGATATTAAGTGCGCTGGTATACCATTGACGAACGCTAGAAATAGAAGAGGTCCAATGACATTCCCCTGCGGTATTCCTGACGTAACGCTTGCCCCGGTAGAAAACTCATGGCTAATTCGGACATTCTGTTTACTGTCTCGCAGAAACTCGCTAATCCACGCCACCACCCTGAAATCTATGCCTGAATTAATTAATTTATGGACAAGCCGATCGTGGGGAACGACATCAAACGCTTTGGCAGAATCTATAACTATTGCGTCTACTCTCGCCCGCGTCAGTTTCATCTGCTAGATCCTGAAATAACGTGGCTACCTGACTTACACATGAATAACCACTCCTAAAGCCGTGTTGGCTATCATAGAGACATTTTTTATAATCTGAGGGCACCGAACCGTGAGTCGCTAAAAGTGAAACGGACTCCAAAGGTATTTCATGCGTTGCCAAAACAAGAGATGGTGTTTCCAGACACGAGTTGTGAGTTAAACTGAATATCATATGTATATATATGTTGTTTTTTTTGTTTGATCTTTTGTTTGAATTGGAGTCTCTGGGCCTATATGTTATAATTATATCGAGTGCTATTTTCATTAGAATAATTTTATTTGATTACCATCATCCGTGTAACTTCTATTCGTATTCTTTTGAACATGTTTATATTAGTTTTCTCCTTTACTGTGTCTAGCCTGAAGATAGGGAAAATTTAATTCCCCGAAACCTCGCTCTGAAAAATAATGAACTTTTTATGATGTGATTGCTCAATAGATCTGAGTAAACTTTTTATGATCTAAATACTGTCGTTAAAAAATCTGTGACCAAATCCAATTAACAATATATATGTTAGTGATTGTACAGACAATTGCCTAATTGATGTGCAAAATCGACACTTATGTTGTGTTTTCTTTATGCTCATGGGTTCTACCAGCTGCCGCTTGCCAGCCAGAGGTGCTGCCCTCCGAACTATTAAAAGTCACGTGTACGTCAATTGCGTTTTCCAAAGAAAATGCATCATGGACGTGATTGAAGAAAGTTTGGTTTGTAGAGTTGAGCAGCTTGAGAAGCACGTGCGGGAATGCGTGGGAACTCGTAAGCTCTGTTGTGGCTGGTCTGTGTTCGTGCAAGTGCAGGGCCCGGCAACTCTACATCAAAACTGGGGACAAAGCTCGAGGTTGCTACTATAGGAAGCGCTAGTGACGCCGGGTGCAGCTGCAGGTTAAGCTCGCCAACTTTCCCACATACAAATTGGCTAATTTGTGAGAAATACCAAAAGTGTCCTATAAATGTACTATTATTCATAATCTATACTTATACGAAACCTCCGAAGAATGCGCGAACGTAGACGTTACCTTTTGCAACATTATGGGCCTGCTTGCGACCCGCGAACTCACGCAGTATCCACGCACGTTGGCAGCAGTTCGTGTTTTAGTTCATGTAAAGGTGATGCAGCAGAGCGCGCCACTGTAATGGTTCCCACCACGTTATATGGGAGTTATAGGGCCCTGTGCAAGTGTTTGTTTGTGCACTATGACATGGTGCGAACAGCATGTGGATGTGATTTCATTTTAACGTTGGGCATGTTTGGGTAATTGTGCTTGATGGTAATGTTTATGGGAAGAAAGTAAGAAACAAATAAAAATTAGAATTTTTCATATCTATTTTGTCTGATATAAGTGCTGGGTATATCAGAAGTGTTGGTCCATATACTTGCGATTCCTTGTGCAAAGATTCGGTAAAGTTTTGCAATGGTTCGAAAATTGAAGTTTCATGAACAAAAATTGTTGAAGAAAGTTGATTTCATTTCTTGGGAATTGGATAATAATCTCCATGAAGTGAAGATAATGAGAAAATACCACATTAAGAAGAGAGAAGATTATGTGAAGTAATATAATTTGTATCTTAAGTTGTTCGTCGCTATTTTCTACTAGTTGATACTAATTTATTTTTATTCCAGATACAAGAAGTTATCCTTCGAAGTGCGTGAAGTAGCTAGGAAAATCAGAGACTTGGATCCAAAGGACTCCTTTAGGACCGAGTATAGTGCTTTGCTCCTTGAAAAATTGTAAATATTTTGTTATATTTTTTTTTTAAATTGTATGATTTCAGGCTCATAAATGTTTGATGAGTTGTCCACATGCAATCTGTCAAACGTCTACTGTTAGTGTAATCACTTAAGATCATAATCATGTTTTGCTTTGTTCATAACTTCCTTCTCTAAAATTTTTAAGCGAAAATTGGAAAGGCATGATAATGTACTTCTTTAAAAACCTTGTAATTTGTGACAGGTATATTATTGGTCTTATTCGTTCAAAATGGGATTTGGCGTTGTGTGACGAGGTTAATGCATCTTCCTTCTGCCGAAGACGACTTCCTGTTATTATGGCTAAAAATAAAATGGCACAGACCGTAAAAATGGCTTCTCAATTGATTGAACAAGGCCATGTGAGAGTTGGTGCTGAAATTGTCAAAGATCCAGCATTTTTGGTCAATCGGTGTGTAAAAAGATATTTCCTTCATTATTTAAGACATTTATTTGTTATGTGAATTGTTTAATGACTTTTTTCTTTTCATTAATTTTAATATCCAGGAATTTAGAAGATTTTGTGACGTGGGTTGACAGTTCTGCTATTCGAAAACACGTTCTTGAATATAATGATATTGTGAGTATTATTAACTGGAGAAATCTTTTGCATGAAGCATGTAGATCGTATCAATTTTGTTCTGTAAGTCTTAGAGGGTAGAAAGTATATAACTATCTGGGTAAATTCGTGAAGAATTTGAATGTTTCTGGTAAGTTGACAGTGTTCACAGTTGCCCAGTCTAAAACAAGGGGGAGGAAATTTCTTCTGACTCCCTTATCCATTAAGATTTTTTATTTACACAAGACATTTATGTTTAATTTGGTTTACAAGATAGGGATTGCCTCAGGCTAGATCACATTTTTGGGGGGGATTTTGTGTAGATTTTTGGGGTTTTTAGCAGTATTCAGTCAATTTAGGGGTTTTTAATGTATATTTAGGGTTTTCTATGGGAGTTAGTCTGCGTTGGCTACCTTTCAGAGTGGATTCAAATTTTGTTTATGATTTTGGCGCAAGTTCATTGTTTGCACTGTAGGTACTCTGTACAATTTCCAATATTTTTTGTAGTATTCGAGAAATTTTAAAATGTTCACATGTCATTTTTTTATATTATACATTTATTATGATTTCATATAGTTTATAAGATTACATGACAGAATGTGCCCAATGATGCTCAGCTTGGTATTTTTTTTTTTTTTTTTTTTTTTGGAGAACTGAAATTAACATGATTACTTTACAAACGTCCAAATACAACTTCAAGAAACAATATTTCAAAAGCAAATTAAAAATCATTGTAACCGTAAAACACATTCAAAGCATGCAGTTATTTTGCAATTTTTATGTACGATGTAAGCACAAAATTTAAAGCATCATAAATAAACAATCAACTAATTTTAATTATTGAAAAATGGTGAGTCATTATGTTCATGACTAGCACAAGTTTTGACTTTTACTACCAAGTAAATGAAAGTTTTCAAATTTTATATCCCTAAGTATTAATACAATAATACTCAAACATATAGTTACAGTATCAATATACTGGTTGATTAATATGTCCATGCTACTTACGGAGATTGTCTCCCATGTTACCCATTATCATATGAAATATAATGACTGTGTCATGTTTCTCTAACATAAACTCTGCACCAACTTCTGAATATCAAATTAATAAAAAAGAAAACCCTTTTAGGCATTTTGTTGGCAAACAATCCAATTTTCAAGAGAGAGGTGTTAATTTAGGAAAGGTAGCATCGTTGGCTTGACCCACTGATCCGTGATACAATAAGCTGTGACTCACGAGAAAGAAAAGATTGATATGGTTATGTATACATCATTTAGATTCTATGAATTGGGTGTCTAAAAAACGATGATCTGGTACCAGCACCATCTGAAGCCCGTGCCATGAAGTACCACCCTACAGGCACAAAATGCAGAGGTGTTTGGTGGGAATCCTATGCTGTGATGCATGTTCTGTAATTTGCAATAAATACCATAAATAATTTTATTTTAGAGTCATCATGTATCAATTATAAAACGGAGGATAATTTGTTTTGTCGTGTAGTAAGGATTCAGTTGGTGGAGAATTTAAACAGGTGAAAAGAATCACTGCATAACTTGGTATTCATTTTTGTTGTGAAATCTAATTTTCTTTTCTTTTTAGCGAGATGATTTTGAAATGGCCTGAACTAGTGTTACTCTTTGGAACACGTTTAGTTGGAAACATTGAAGATCGATGAACAGAAATACTAAGCGTGGTATGACCAAGATTGTTGAAATGTTCTGTGTATATTTATAAATTTGTTAATAAAAGATATTACAAAATTATAGTCTGCTTTGAATTCCATCATTTTTCATAGTCGTTAGAAATTTAACTAATTTTTGTAGCCCAATAGAAAGAAAAGACAGTATCTTGTAGTTAAAGAGTTTATGTGAATATCTGAAAGACGTGCAGATTGTAAATCATTCGCCACCACTACACTGTGATTTAGTTTTAGTGAGAGACATTAGATAAGCTGAGTGAGGTTATCCAATCGAGAGCTTCGTTACAACTTAATTTTTCAAATTGAAGCTCCTGACTGGATTACTTGCCTTTTATCTGTTCACGCATCAAAGTCGCTTTAATTGCATTGGAAAACATCTGCACTATGGAGCTGATTAGCAGCAATGCCAGCCATGCTTCTTGGTGTATGGCCACCTTCAGAAACAAGGCAATGTTTTAATGGTTTAAAAGTTAAACTTTTCTATTGCTGTACGACAGTATTCAGACTTAATATTTTGGTGGAAAACATTTCTAGGAAATTTTTGAAGAGTAATATTCCATCTGGTAACAATGCAGTCCCCTGGGATTGTTTTCAATCATGTGGCATCTGGTTGTGTCATTTAAGGAGTTGGGAAGGTAATACTTCCATGCAGTCAATAGCTACAATTAAATGAATTGCCACAACAATGATAAATTACATTTCACACATCCAAAATGAAGGTCTTAAAATTTCCCTGAAAAACAACCTTTAGACCCTAATGTTATGGAATAGCAAAAGTTTTACAGAAAGCATCAGAGAATGCTTTAACTGAGAAATGTTTGGATTGTACCTGGTAAGTTGTAACCTGTGATCTATAGTACAAAGTGGCATATTGTGGGTGTCAGCCACCTGAGGCGAGGAAAATTTCATTGCCCCCTTGTTTAGGTATTTCAATTTAAGAGACTAAATTATACATTAATTCTTTAGAATTTTTGCAGTAATTCTAGAGAATAAAAGTTTGAGAAGGATTCGTAAAAAAAGTATTGTAGAACATTTCAAAGTAATTACTAATAAATAAAAAAAATATAACCTACTTTTCTGAAATTTACTTGTTCTGATTCTCTTTATTTGAAACATAGTTACATTAAGAAACAAACTTAAATAAAATATTTTGTACTCGCATAGTTGAATGTGTACGTACATGAACAATACAATTCTTCAACTAAATTACATAATTTAACAATTGGTACATGTATGTGTGAGCACTGAAGTCACAATTTGGAAAGCACAAACATTTATTATACAATTAAATTAATGTGAATTGGACAAGTGACGATCTATGAATGAATCTTATTTTGAATTGTCAAAACATCACTTGCAGACTTCCTTGAAGGGACTTACCTGTACTGTTATCTAATTTGCATTTTGTTATTTTACCATATTGAACACTATTGTTTATATGGTAGTAGTCTTTCTTGCTGAATAGTAATTAAACAATCCAAGTACAAAATAATATTTGGAGAATCCTTACAAGTCATTACAGACTGTTGCCAGTCACTACAAGGAGTATTATGTCATTATTATACGTTAATTTAAAGAAGTCCTCACAGAATAAGTAATGAAAGATTCTGTGCCCATTTCAATCGGTCCAAATCATAGGTGCAACAAAAATGTGAAATTGTGAATTTTTTTTTTTTAATTTTATTATTTATTGTGAAATTGTTTTCTGCCCCCACTACTCTAGGCCACTGCTATTGTATGCCTATGACATTTCACATCAGAGTAACATCTCTGGCAGGTAGTAAATATCAGGTTCAATTGTACAAGACCTTTAGAACAGAATTGTTATTGTCCCTATGATTTATATTACAAATGAGAAAGGCTGGTGCTGAGAGGCTCGATGAGAAGGTAGATCTTACTAGGATGGAGAATATGAGCAGTCTGAAGTACTTTTACATCATTTTAATATGAGATAACTTTCTTTACCCAAGAAATGTCTTGATAAACATACCTCAAGACCAAAATCCCTTTCACTTTCCATTTTGTTCAACTTATTACTTTCAGTAAATGCACTGCACCTACTTGCAGAAATAGATTTTTTAAAAGTAATAGGTTAGGATATTTGACAATAAACAAGAATGACAACATACAATGTAGGCTTTCACGTCCGGTTTCCATATCGACGAAGAATGACAACAATTACCAATGTTTATTTAATGTATCCTGACTGATATGTTCCAGATATAAAAATAATAATTAAATATATGTTCATGATATGTATAAAAAAATTAACCATATATACTTTTTATTTTTATTTTTTTTTTTATTTTTTCCAGAAATATGTAAAGAGCACAATAGTGTTTAAAATTGCCCTCATACTAGCACTTTAAAATTTTTGAATACAAAACTTGCTGCTCAGCCCTTAAAATGAATTCAGTGTATGAGCAAACACTATGAGTTTATTTAAAAAAAAAAGAAATAGTAGAATATACAATTTGCAAATAGTTTAATTGCTCCTTTTTTATTTGTTTTCTTACTTGTTTGCTTGTAATTGAGTTCAATTTATTCAAAACTATTTCTACATCTATTAGTCACTTTCCAAAGAAATATTCCCATTGTGTGCTAGGGGATGCAAAATTTATGCAAAGGTTCCAATTTCTAAAACCCTGACAAGAAGAGAATGTTTCAACAGGATGCTGGAAGTATGATAAACAAGTAGGTTGTAAGAAAAGTTTGATTTTGATTGAATTACACATGTGCAATATGAAACAAGAGAAAAAATTAAATGAAGTATTTTATATCTGTAAAAATACATTTACATATAAATCCTTTTCCTGTGTAAAACTATTTCATTAAAACTTTTCTTGTGATAGTTCAACTTTCTTAGTTTTTAATAAAAGAGATTTCACATGTTTGACTCCTCTTGAGATGAAGAATGAAATTATTATTTCCTTTTTGTCCAGATTTCACAGATTGCATGACCTATCATTGCACTGAAAATAGGGGGGGAAAATTAGTCCAAAAAGTATTATTGCAGTGTTTAAGTAATGGATTTTGAAATGTTATTAATTCTTAAACTCTTCAGAAGTTGTGTGGAGAGTCTACAACATGCCAGCTTAATGAAAATCAGGTCTTTCAAAGAATTGTATAGTTAGCCGTTGCACACTTTGTAAGGTTGGAATTGTAATTGCTTTTCTAAACTAATATAAAATCTGCTGCCACCAAATTTAATGAAAAGCAGTCTTAGCTTTGGTGACGTTCACTCTACCAGACTACTCTTCGTTTTTTATGGCAAAAAATTATCAATATTGTGTTATGACTACTTTCAGTTTTTTTTAAAATTAAATAATAAAGCAAGAAATTTGTTTTAGATAATTGAATTAATGCATATTTCATATAAAGCTCATCATTTCATTTGAAATTATATTATTTTGTATTTCAATTTTAAAAATCACTGGAAAATTCGGCATCAAAGGTGGTAGCGGAATAAGATATGCAAATCTGCACCTGTGGATAAACATTTTTTATGTTAATAATCATAATTAAAGTATAAAAAAAAAAGTTTTGTGCCAGATTTAAATCAATTTATCCTGAGTACAAATGGAAAAGAAAAGTTTTTACAAATTTTCTTCCAATTTCATCCTAATTACAATCCTTACATTGTCGTTACAATTTTCTATAGATGATAAAGATGTTTCAATCAAGGGTATATATCTGATTTTTACCCTTACAATCAACAAAAAAGAAGGGGAAAAATAGAAAGAAAAAAACTTTTTTTCCTTCGTTTATTAAGGATATCTCATGTTCCAACCCAGATCATAAAAAGGGCTAAATACAATTGTAGCCCTGTAAATTCTCTACAATTTCCCAAAATTTCAACCTTTTATCTTATAATCTGCATCCGACAGCTCATTGTAAATAAAACGGTAATTTAATAGTTTTTATGTTTATTAGAAAATATAAATAATGAAAGACAAAATTTTAAGAATAACATTATAAACTATTGTAATTTGAATATTGAATGAATTAAGATTGTACCAAAAAATAACATGTTTATAAACAAAATAATACAATGTTACAAATAATGTTAAATGTTATTTGTAATGTTAGAATATATGTTAAGCAATCCCTACATGATGCTCCTCCCCATGTTTTTGATTTAGGCAGCAGATTTTGGAAACAAGCCATGTGGTTCTTTATCGCAATGTGCAGATTTATCATCTACCTGCAAGGCACAATATTAGATACTTGCATTGTCTGGTTTAACATCACCAGATGTAAAACATCTGCCATCCACATCTATGTTAGAAAAGTTGAAGGGCTTGGATTTTTTATCATCTACTTCCGAATTGCAAAATTCAGAAAGCTGAAAGAATCAGAAGTGGCTGTTGGAACTGTCAGAATCTATATATAACATAACCATCATCTCAATCAAGTTATGACGATCCATCTTACACAGTGCAGGCTAAGGAGATGTGGAAGTAGAACTAATTGAAATGCCTTTTCAGAGAATTGTTGCTACATAAAAATATTGTTTCTTGTGCTTTTTAAATACTGAACTAAATAATGTTACTTCCAAAATTCATATTTGTTTTTGTAGCTACATGCATTTTTATACTGCAAGAAAATCACAGTTGCGGTAGACACTTAATTTGAATACTGTTGTTTAGTGAAAATTTACAAATTTCAAAGTGTTTTCATATGCATGCCAAGTAGAAAACCAAGAGTTAGCATTATTATTCTATGATCTGTCAAATGAAAGTATTCTGATAACACGGATAGATTGTAAAAACTGATTGTTATTAGTTGAAACCTTATTTTGTTCAGTATTCAAATTACTGTGTGTTATATTATTAATCTTACAAATTTGTTTTTAATTATTTATATTTTATAATGATAAAACTACAAAATTTAAATTTAAAAAAAACACTTAATTTTAAGAAAATAAATAAGAAACTACTAAATGATTGGTTTATTTATATTGACCTGCCAGATACAAATTAAAAGATAGAAGAAGCATCAGAACTTGTTATATTTTTAAAAAATGAAGGATAAAAGTAATATTTTACTTTTCTCTTTTTTTATTGATTGTAAGGGTCAAAATCGGATATAAATGCCGGAAAAAAATCCTCGAAACATCTTTATCATCTATACAAAAAATTGCAAGAATAATTTAAGTCAATATTCATAGGCTAATATGGTTAACAAAATTTGAACTTATATAAGAGGCAAAAAACTGTTGTTGTTTTTTTCAATTTGTACGAAGTACTCAGGATAAATTATTTAAATCTGACAGAAACTTGTTTTTTAACTTCAATTTTCAACAAAAAATTTTTATCCCCATCTGCAAATTTGCCAATCTCTTTCTCCTACCCCCTTTTTTCCATTATCCTTTTTTTCTCAACTGAATCATTGTTTTGGCCCATAATATTATGCATACAGCAAAATTAAAATTCTCTGTGGGATGTTGCAGGTGTTAGAATATCCAAGTGTCTGCAAGAGTGCAGTTTTCTTACATAGCCAATACTACTGAATGAGCTTGGAACAAGAATGTGTTACCTCAAAAGTTCATCTATACTTCTGTATGGCCATTCCACTTGGTGCTTCCAGATTTCCGCTTGAGGGCACTGGGTGAGGAAGGCAGGAACATAACCGTGTATATATTTAGGGTTAAAAATATGTTGGCTAGGATCAAGAAAGTTTAATGCAGAGGCAGAAATCTACAGCCTTGATGCCAACTTGGAACTGCGCAAGCAAAAGGGAGTGAACTAGGCTCTATGTATTTCGGCATACAAATGCTGTGAAATTTTGCATTTACCAGAATTAGGTTATTTTTATGTCAAAAACACAGTGCCACCAAGCAGAATGGTTCTAGTGAAGTGAAAATGAAGTTTTTGAGTTAACACTTAATTGCATTAAGCTCTTCAATTGCATTTGTGTCTGATAATGATTTTGTGGTGTCAGCATGATGTAACATTACAGCACAGAGTGCTTCAAAAAGGGATCATCCTACTCTACTTGCCACATGAGGGGATAGCCTTTTCAAACACTTTGCAAATACTACGCAAAATTGCAGTAACAAACATTGGTAAAACTATTTCTTTGACAGCACAACTTCTAATCTACATGCTTCACTGAATTATCTTGGAGAGCATTATGTGTACCTTGAAAAGTGTTTAGTTTAACTTGAACTATAGTTTTCTTAAAATGGGGACATAATTCCAAGATTAATGAATTTAATTTAGTAATTACCATGTGTATCTCCTGTTTCATTATTGTTCATCTGCAGAGCTTCAAATTACATGGAACAACAAATACCCAAATATATACAAAGTGATGTACTAAAAATGTTAAAAATAAGGACTAAAAATAAAATAAAAGTTAAAACTAGAGAAAAAAATGTATTAATCAAATATTAAAGTTGCACAAATAGAATGATCTAATAACTTGGATTTAATAATTTATTGTACTAAAATAGACACCATTTTTGTGTGGCTGAAAGCAAGTTCCTTCTCTGACAATCAGCCATAAATAAAGGAAGTTTCGAAGTAACGTTTTCAGTGCAAGAACTGCACCTTTTTTATTAATACTGAATTGTGCTGACCTAAATTCCATGCAACATCAGAAGAGTAATAGAGACTAGTAATTTATAACAATAATAACCACTTATATATTTTTAAAAAATGGAAAGAAACTTACTTGAGTTGAGAGATTTCTTGAAAAATAATTGCCAGTTGCCTTTTATCTCTTTGTAGTTTACGAACCCAATTTATTCGGGAAAGTTTGGGGGCAAGCAATATTGGGTTAATCGGGATGTAATCTAAGTTCTCAACAACTTCTGCCATCTCTCTTGGATTAAGTTCTTGAGTCAGCTCTTTTCGAGTAGCTGATGTTGATGGATTATTTTCTATACAATCATATTGAGAGTGTAATATATTTGAATGAAGTTCAGACTCAGTCTTAAATGAATTTGCAGTAGGAAAGTTAGTTAAAGTCGATACTTCTAAATTTGTCAAGGTAAACATTTCACTGGAATTTATTTTTTCACATTTTGCCCCATAGTGTGTATTCAACTCATTTGGTGACTTTTTGCTGAGGTTCAGGGGTTCTTCCCAAGGATTATTAGGTATTAAGTTATTAGAATTGCATGGAGATGAGTCACATTCCACAGTATTATTTAAGAATGATATTATGGTTGAATGACTTGACGGTGTTCTTGCGTGTTCTGGAGTACTTGCATTGAAATATGGGATGTTGTCCTGTTCATTTGGAGAGTTTTCTTGAGACTTTGAATCACTGTTCTTATTATTTATTATTTGTTCACTTGCACTGATATCATGTATAACAATATCCTTTGTTTTTTGTTCATTAAAATCAAAAGTTGCGTAAATCATATGAGTCTCATGAATAGGAGTTTCTGAAGATGTTGATAGTTGGTGGGCATTACATGACCCCTGATGTTGCTGTGGAGATTTTTGCACCAAAGTATTATTTACATGATAATTATCATTACTGGAAGAACTTTCTCCTAGTGTATTAAACTTAAACTCTTCAGAATAAAAAGGTGATATTTGTTGTAACTGTGTTGTTCCCGGTACAATATCTCCATATTTTAAGACTTGTTTGTTTTCTTGTTGGTGAACCAAATTTATTCTTGGCCTTTTGGGGACAAGTGCAGTGGGATAAACTGGGGTGAAGTTAAAATTCGTAACATCTTGTGCGAAGTTTCTGGAGGAATTAAATTTGTGTGCCTGCTCTCTTGGGAAATTACATTCTTGCATCAGCTCTCTTTCAGATGCTGATATTGATAGATTATTTTCTATTGAATCAAGGTGAGAGTGTGGTATATATGAATAAAGTTTACACTCAGTCTTAAATGAATTTCCAACAGGATACTCAGTCAAAGTTGATACTTCTGACTTCATTGTTGTGGCAAGAAGCTCATTGGAAGTTACTTCATTTTCAAGTAATTCTGCTTTATAGTATGTTTTTGACTCATTTGATGACTTTCTGTTCAAATCTAGTTGTTCTTTATAAGCTTCATTAAATGTTAAGTTTATAGAATTATTTGGAGGTAAGTCATGTCCCACATTACTACTTAAGTATATTTCTAAGGTTTGTGGTGGCCTTGTGGCTTCTGGTGTTGAAAAGCTAGGATTGATTTTGGAGTACTTATATTCTTTTAGTGTTGTTTCACTATTCATACAATCAGGTACTTTAAATCTCTTCATTTTTAATGGACTTTTGGGTGTAGGTCCTGAAATTAAATGTAATATAAATTTCCTACAGATCTAAGTTGACCATCATAACCAAAACAAGAGTAATAAGAAATAATAATAGTAATAATAATAAAAAGGAAAACTGCACAATGAAATATTACAATACAACAAATGAAATATTACAATAAAGCACAAAACATAAAAAAAGTATACCATAAATTGGGGCAAATCTTCCACTTTTTTCTTCTTTCAACTGTTGTGTTAATTTATAAAGTATGAAACTATTTAAGATCTCTGTCTCAATTGGTCCTGACCTCCAGTTTCACAATTTGTGGTAAAATGACAACTTAAGTACAATTTTCTGTGCTGAAAACAGCATTGGCAAAGTTACCCTGGAAATGTAACTTTGCCAGCTATGTTAAAACCTAGTGGAAAGCACATAGAAAAAACTATAAATTCACCTTACAACTATTTATTAAACTAAAAAAAACCCTTCATATTAATATTAAAATGGTGTGGACATATTAAAAAAATACGATTTTTTAAAATTTAATTAAGATTTAAAAATTTTAATTCGATTTATATTTTAATAGAATTTTTATAATTGAAATCCTTTTAGGTTCATAGCATGAGGGAGAATTTATCAAATAATTTGTATGTAGACACATACTGCAAATTTAAAAATTATTAGCAGAGGTAATTATTATTAAAAATAAATTATGGAAAATGTTTGCCACCTATTTAAATTAACTTGCAATCACTAATAAAGATTTTAACAAATGATTTTACAATTGTATGAATGTTCAGTATACATAAGTATTTATAAATTTGATATATAAATATTTTTATATATTTAGGATACAATTTAACATTTAGTTTATCCTTAATAATGTAATAAAAATTGTGAAAAATATTTTATTTTATACTACATGTTAAATCATAATAAAATCAAACTACCGTGTACAAAGAATAAAAATGAACACTTTTGAAAAAAATATTATGCAAGAATTGGAGAAAAATTACGAAAGGTTAGTTCTAGGTTAGTAAAGTTGTACAGTTTTCACCAAGAAGCTATCTTGGTGCAACTTTGCTTAAGTACAATATTACATCTAAATGCAACATTAAATTAACTTCAAATAGTGGATTCGAAAGGGAATTATATGCTACATTAAACAATAAAATAGTTATGTTTTACTGAATGGACAGGGCAAGACACTTCTGCAGAATACCGAAAACACCTTTTCTACAAGTCAAAAATAAAACTGATAAAGACCTGCAAACTAGTGATCAGGCTAAAAACACAAGGAAACTTGTTCTTCAATGCCTTGTTTGTGCAATGAAGCACCTATATGTTGGTTTAGGAACTTCGCAGGGCAATGAACAATATAATTATCAAAAACTAGCAAAGTTGCCCTGGTTATGGTACAATTGGAAAATCTTAAAATATTCAGAACTTTTTCATGAGATTAGATCTTTGTATAAACATACAAAAGTAAAATATTTCCAGTGTGTTTTAACAAGAGCTTTAATACCAAATCCACCGATTAAGTATGCTGAACAGCTCCACAAAGAAAAGTGTCTCCAAAAGACTGAAAGGGCAGTCAATCAAGAGCCCCCAGCCCCATTTACAAAATTCTGAAAGATTTTCTCAGAGTTTAGATGTGGACTTGTGATAAATAACTGCAATATAACAATAATAATAATAATAATAATAATAATAATAATAATAATAATAATAATAATAATAATAATTATTATTATTATTATAAAAATAAAATCTGGCTAAAATAAAATGAGAATAAGCAGCTGCAGCTAGCCTTTTTTTTATAATGTTTTTAAATGCAGAAAAACTTGCTCAATGCGGAACGTGCATAATGCGGAAGTCTGTCCAATGTGAACTTAAATCGCGGACCTGCCAATCACAAATTCTACAGTAGAACATAGCATAATGCAAAATCTTGTCAAATACGGGAAAAAATTGTGGTCCCTTGAGATTTCGCTGAGAGCAATTTTTACTATATATTTTTTACAGGGTTTCATTTTAACTAGAAACAATAAGGTAATTATCTTACGCGCGATTGTAATACGGCGCCCCAGTTAATAAAATACACACTTTAGACAGAGACCATAAGTTTTGTTTCCATGAAAGAAAATTACATATGCATTGTTTCATTACAACAAATTAACATTCAGTGGATAACAGCGTGGACTTACTTTTCTTATTCTTACAAGCTTTTTCGGACGTAGTTGATGTCAACTTCACAATAAACTTGGAATCTATTAAGTATATACGGCTTGGTATACCGTCCAGTTACTAAGATCTTGCTTTGCTTCGTAAAACGTATTGTTGCTAATGAACATTATTGTCGCGGATTAGGGTTACCAACCTTTATGTACAAATAAAGTATTTTTCCTCAAAAATGAAATAAAAAATAAATATTTTTCAATATTGTGTCTTAGCATCTGAAGTCTCTAATAGCTAAAATTTCGAAATTTTACACATTTTCAATGTCCATTAAATGTTATAGAAACCATGTGCTTAAGATTCGTACTAATACCATATTGTAACTGCTAATACAGCATCTGTCTCTATATATTTCTTTTGAAATCGAACTGGTGACTGGTCGCTTTTGTTGATAGGTATATGAACTCCGAAAAAAAGTGAAATGTCTTTTTAAATAAAAAAATACTCTATTTTTCCTGAAGTGGATATTGGCAACCCTACATGAAATGCGAAGGCACCAGAGAATAAAAGCAGGCAAAATACACTAATGTATTCCATTTCATTTTGTTTGTTGTACGTAAAAGTTAACGCATCCAAATTACCATTAATTCGTCAAGGATTTGGATTTTAATTCTAAAAGTTCCAGAAACTGGATGCTCAGCTATGTTTTTATATAATAGAAAGTGTAATCGTGCGCCGGAAAATGGCTAATTTTCGGGTGCAAAATTCTTATTGTTACTCACTGGTAATGAAAATATGGAAAAAATTTGTTCTTATACATAGTAAAACACTTCGTCTGACACGTTGTGTAGTCATATTGCATGTTTAGTGGGTCCTTTATACCGAACAATCGATTGACGATTGTCTAGCCAGCCAGGCGTGAGTGGTAAAGTCCAGCGCCGAGCACTTGAAAGCTTCCGATAATTTCGCTCCCGCACTCAACCTTCATTATCCACCGAACAATAAGCGTAAATAAGTTTTGTATTAACTCCGCCTGCGGTTATTACTGGGTGGATCGAGTAGCTCAGCAATGCCGTTGCCGGTCCCAAGCCCGGATAAAGGAGGAGGGTTCCC